TATATATAAAAAAAAACATACATCCTGAAAAAAAATAGTTTATTGAAAAAGCACAATCCCCCAAAAATGCAGCATGTAAAGGGCATATTGGAATTTGAATAGAAGTACAGGCGCAAAGCTCCAAACACCAACACACCTGCCTGAGTGCAGCTTGAGCTTACATTGTCTGCCTCTTATGACAGTTACATACTCCCTTCCACTCACATGGTCTCACCCCTAGAGCTATGGTTTCAGTGCTCGTACTACATGAGTGTGGCACACATTACGCCTAGCAAGTGGAAGGGTTGCCATCCCTGGAGAGACAGCTAAGGCAATCAAGAGGTGGGCGTTAATGGTTACATTTTAAGCATCTTTCTTTCATGTGCAGGTTTGGCCTTCTGTTGCCACATCCCTGAGATCTGATGGAACAGGTGTTTGAAACAAAGAGAGGGACCTAAAAAGCACCACATCAGCACACAGCATCTCACTCTCTCTACAGAATTTGCTTAGCATGGGTTTAGACGTCAGCCCTTATCCCTTCTGCCAGAAACTGTGTCCTGGTTTTATCCAACTGCATTTTGGGAGGCCTGATCCTTGAGGTGACCTTTCCATCCCTGCTCATCAGCAGTCACAGGGGACCAAGGCAGAGGGTATACCAACATCCTGAGCCCCCTGGATATTATGAGGGCCATCGTCAAAGAAGATGTGGGGCTGGATCTGGGAGAGAAGGGGACCTTTGGGAGCTCCATCCATGAAGAAGGCCTCATCAATCGCCAGCCCCCATTCCCGAAGGGTCTTGATAGCACGGATGCCCATATCACGACCACTGCGGGCTGTCACCAAGTAGGTGCGAACAGGGGAATTCTCCTGGCTGAACTTCTTGCGCATCTTCCCAAGGAGCATGGCAAATGCCTTCAGTGGACCCTATGAAACCACACAGGGATTAGAGGTTGGGAGTACATGAGGAAGGGTTAATTTCACCTTACTCTAAAATAGCTAGCAAAGAGAGATCAAGGAAGATAGAGTGATTCTCAGAGGCTGGGGGGGGGGGAATTTTGGCAGAAGATTCCAGATTTTTCCAGAGCATGGACCACAATGTACTAAAGCGATGGTGTCCCACCCATCAATCCTAAAATATCCCAGTTGCAATGACAGCAATTGCCTACATGGAAACGTGACTTTAGGAAAGCAGTCTACATATTTGTTTCGATCTTTTAATTCAACTTAGTGGTTAGAAATAAGAGGGAGCCAACACTGTGCCCACCAACCCACTCCCCTCCAGTAAGTGGGTGGCAGAGCACCAGTGGTCTGAGAACTGTGTGACTGACCTGTGTAGTGGCACGGTGGCTTAAGGCTCTCGCCTGCCACCTTGGAAGACTGACGGCAAACCCCCAGTCAGAAATGGAAGTGAATGTTGAGGCCTTATCACAGCCTCTACTGAGCAGACAGACACATTCCAAAAAGTAGCACCACAAGAGTAGACCCCGTTTGATTGCAACAAATGACAGTGAATGTGTTGTTAAAGGTTTTCAGTCTGGGAAGAGGGTTAGGAATAGAGCTAATATTCACAGGCGGCTCATCTGATTTCAGTGCTGGGCTAGCACCACGAACCTCATCTACAGGAGAAGAGGCCTATGGCCTGTTACAGCATTCACTGAAACCAATGGGGGTATGTCTACACTACAAAGTTAATTCGAACTAACAGACGTTAGTTCGAATTAACTTTGATAGGCGCTACACTAGCGATCCGCTAGTTCGAACTTAATTCAAACTAGTGGAGCGCTTAATTCGAACTAGGTAAACCTCATTCTACGAGGACTAACGCCTAGTTCGAATTAACTAGTTCGAATTAAGGGCTGTGTAGCCACTTAATTCGAACTAGTGGGAGGCTAGCCCTCCCCAGCTTTCCCTGGTGGCCACTCTGGGCACCACCAGGGAAACGCTTCTGCCCCCCTCCCAGCCCCGGTGCCCTTAAAGGGGCACGGGCTGGCTATGGTGCCTGTGCCAGGTGCAAGCCTGCCAGCACCCAGCCAGCAGACCCTGCACCTGGCACGGCTCCAGCCAGCCACCCGCCG